GCCCGGGACGCAGTGCGGAGCTGCTGCCCACAGCGGAACTGCCCTTTGCTAATTACCAGCACCTGCCCCCGTCCCGTCACGTGGGACCATCTCCCTGGCACAGACGTGAGCATCTTCCCGGGTCAGTGTTAGAGAGCCTGGGACAGCAGCCTGGCCAGGCGTCCCATCCACCTGACCCACACCCGTGCCCCCTGGGAACAGCTGCAGAGCCAGCCGCTGACTGCACCTGCTCGAGCCCTCCCGTCTCCTGAGGCGACCAAGCTGGGCAGCGTGGTGCTCTTTCCTCCAGCGAGCGGGTAAGGCTGTGCAGGCTGCGAGAGGCAGATCTGGCAGAGGGCCAGCGTCCCGACCGGGCCACCTTGCCAGCAGGGCCCCGGGCGGCTCCTGTACCCTGTGCCCAGACTGTGGGGCCGCAGCCCTGCTTATGTGCTGACACATTCCTCGGCGCGGCCTTAATTACATGCTGTTAATTCTCATAAACGGCAGTAATTTCTCTGCTCGCTGGCAGAAGGCAGACCCGGCTCCCAACAGCAGCTCGCAAGTGCTCTGTTAAAAAGTCGTTGGAACATTTTCTTCAGAGACAGATCTTCCAGCCCATGGCTCACCCCTAAGTGTCTGCAATGGCTGGGATCGGGCCTGGCCAAAGCCAAGGGCCAGGAACTCCTTCCTGGGCTTCTGTGTGGGTGGCGGGGACCCTACATAAGCCATCAGCATGGCCTCCCCGACTCTGCATCAGCAGGAAACCGGGAGCATGAGCTGGGCACTGAGCGCAGGTGCCCCCGTGAGGCACAGGCCAAGCACTCGCCCAGCGGTGCTGTGGTTCTCCTGGGGTGCTCGGTGTTGCTTTCTAACTGATAGACTGGAGGGTTTCTCAGTCTGAGAAAATCCCATGAAATGAAACACAAGGAGGAGAGCACAGACGGCCGTGGGTTCTCTCTCTCTTCCTGTCTCCCAGGACAAACCCTCAGGCTCACTCTGGAGTTCACTGGATCAACAGAATGATAAGTGCAACCAGATGAGTCTCCTTTGTCCCAGGAGGCCAAAAAGCGACCTGGCAGTGATTACTGTACATATAGTCATGTATGATGTTACTCATGCGTGTGCTAAAACATGGCTGCTGTTATGTTCAGGTACTGCATGCAATCTAATGTCCGCAACACCCCATTTTGCAGATGCTAAAACTAAGGCACAGAGCTCCTAGATGGATGACTGAGCCACAGTCACCAGGGGTTGGATTTGAACCCTGGCATGCTGGCTCAGGGTCAGGGCTCTCATGTTCACATCTTTGATGCATCACCAAAGCTAGTGGTTGATTCCATACTCATGGGGAGAATCTTGCTGACGGGGAGTGAAAATATAATACGGTTTGGGGTTGGCAGAGAAATTGGCTCTAAGAAGGGGCCAGGATTGTGGCACAGCAGGTTAAGCTGCCGCTGAAACACCAGCGTCCTGTGTGAGCACTGGTTCGAGTCCCAGCTGCTCCACTTCTGATCCAGCTCCCTGCTAATGCACCTGGGAGAGCAGTGGAAGACAGCCAAGTGCTCGGGCCTCTGCACACGTGTGGACACCAGGATGGAGTTGCAGGCTCCTGGCTTTCCCTGCCTTTGGCTTGGCCCAGTCCTGGCCATTGAGGCCATTTTAGGCATGAACCAGCACATGAAAGATACTCGCTCTCGCTCTCGCTCTCGCTCTGCCTCTCAAGTAAATAAAACTTAAGAAAGGGAAGGGGAAGGGAAGAAAGTAAGAAATTGGCTCAAGGAAGCCCAGGGATGGAGCTGACAGCCGGGTCTCATGCAAGTGCTGTGTGTGCCTGCCTTCCGGTGACCTGCTCTGTGCACCAGCCAGGCCCCACTTCCTGCCTTTGAAACCCAAGGCCTGCATCTCCACCGAGTGTGAGGGACTCGCAGAGCTGGGGACAGGCGCTAGTGGCCCACACGGTCCCCCTGCAGTGCCAGCCCCTCCTGACAGATGCCAGGTGTTCAGACTCAAATGTTCCCACGGATTCTTTCCTCTTCCACTTCAGAAAACCCGGTCTCCATCCTCCAGAAGGACGTGTGATAATGGCAAGCCCGAAGTGCTTGTGGTTCCTTTTAATTGCCTCTTAAAAACTCTTTGTGGCCACCTTTGGTATGTGGTCGATTCAAGCAGGGTAGAAAAGACGTTCTGGTGAGTCAAGGCACCAGCGAGCAGCCACACCTGCGTCCTTGGGACAAGCACTATGTGTTCTGGGCCCGTCTGCTGCAGCACCTGCCCCCCCCCCCATCCCGTCATGTGGCTTTTCCACTGCCCTGGAGGAGCGGCAAGGTCCACAGACAGCCAAGGGCCTCCCCAGGAGTTGTCTGGGGCGGGGTGGGGGGTGGTCTTGCTGAAATGCAGGTGCTGACCTGGAGGTCTGGGTGGGGCTGAGCCAGTGCATTCCTGGCCCCCAGGTGACTCTGCAGGTGCACACTTCAGGCTGTGGGAGGTTGCAGGGAGGAGGGAGAGGCCCTGTGGAGTAAACACTGTCACATGTGGACAGTCACACGGGGAGCTGGGCCAGCCGCGCCCGCTCGTGAGGTCGGACTACAGGGTCACCTGCCTGTCAAGGAACCAGCCAACCTTGACCCTGGCCGCGAGGCTGCCCCTGAACCTGTGCAGGACGTCGGGCAGGTGTGAGTGAGTGTGTGCGATTAGCTGTCCCGGAGACAGAGAATTGTGCAGTGCCCCTTCTACCCCGAAGGGAGCGTCCATGACCCCCAGTGGACGCCTGGAACCGAGGCTGGCGCCAGCCCTGCATACAAGGGGCCTTCGGAATGTCGTGGGAAAGCGAGTTAGCCAGCTCTGTCCCGATCGCCCTGTGGATCTGAGCTACCTGAGCGTGCGACGTTTTTCTTCCCTCCTGAGTTGGCAGCACTTGGCAGCTTCTCTCTGACATATCCGAGTTGCCGACATTGACAGCCCTGCACTGTGGGGCAGTTACTCAGTAACACGAGGGATACTTGGCCCCTGACATGCTGGCTCTGAGCCAGCAGGGGCAGGGCTGCACGCTGGACGCCTGGGAGTTGGCGCTTCCATCTTTGATGGCCCGTTTGCCATGCGATAGCACCACAGTGTGTCTGATGACCGCTGGGGCGGGGGAGGTAGTGTATACAGCAGGGATACTCTGAACAAAGGGTGACTCATGTCCTGGGCAGGAAGGAGCAAGGCTGCGGGCGGTTTCATCAAGTGCTCAGTGCTGTACAGTTCAAAAGTCAGGGATTGTGGAGTTCTGGAAATTTCCACGTGAGGCGCACGGACTGCAATGAACTAACTGAAATGGCAGGAAGCAAAGCAGCAGGTGCGGCGGCACCACTGGGCTCACGGATATCTTCATACTTGTGCCGCCGTTAAAGAGCGGTGTCAGGACAAGGGCCACAGCAGTGTTCGCCATCTGTGCAGCAGCCCCATTGCGCTCTCTCCACCAGGGTTCCCTGGCCCCGTTGAGAGGTTCCTGGGTGGTCAGGTGGTCTGGGAGCAGCCGGCAGAGCCTGCACACCAGGAACTTGCCCTGGCTAATGTCGACTTCTGTTTTCCACAGCAGCACATCCACTGCCTGCACTTAAGGAGGAAAATGAGCTTGTCTTCCCTGAGAAGACCCTGTTGGCTTTGTTGCTTTGAGCAGCGGCAGTCGCAGAGAAAGTCGTCTTTTAGGCAAGCCTGGTCTACGCCGTGGAAAGGAACGGGGCTGGGCATAGGGCCGGCGTGGGCGGCTGAGTTTCCTGATCAAACAGCAGAAGGCGCCTTGTGAGCTGCGCTCCCTGACCCCCGGCTTCTGTGGCGCTGCAGTGCCGAGCTCTGTGCCCATGGCCAAGTGGCGGTGGAAACTGATGACACGGGTGTTGTCTCCTGCACAGGCGCCGGCGTAGGCAGCGGCAGGTGCAGCGTCTTTCCCAGCTAAGGCTGAGATATCCTTGCATCCGAGTGTAATGGATCCCCCCCCACTCCCCTTCTTACCGCCTGTGACCTGCTCTGGGCCTGGCAGCTGGGCCGTCACAAGCCCTCTACGGAGCCCCCTACATGACACACAGGCCTGCTGGTGTTCTCTCCTGGGGAGCTTTCTTCATTTTGAATAATTTAGGTACACTTCAAAAAAAAATATGCAAGTAAGATCACTTTAGAGGATAGTGCGTGCTGTAGAAATCAAATGGCAAGTGAATGTATAGCACATCACAGGGGAGAATAGATGCGACCGGCTGCTTTTTCTGCTGTTCAGGGTTTGTATCCTAGGAATCCAGGTAGTAGGTCTCTATTGGTTGTCGCTCGGATACCACAGGTTACATTTTGCAACCGTCTTTTTCACTCAAGGACAAATTAAGAGGAGAGTCTTGCAAACAGGAGGCACTGTGGTCTCCCACCAGCCTTTGCGGGAGAGTGAATCGCACACGGCCCCTGCCCAGGAAAGGGGCACACAGCACACCCATTTTACAGTGAGCAAAGTTGAGTTTCCAGTTAGGCCACAGCTGTACAATCTGAGAGCTGACGCTGTCATTTGGTTTCATCGTCTTTAAACAGAGAAGCTGAGGTTCCACTCGGCGCAGGGGGGGTGGGGGGATGGGGGGGAGAGGTTGCCCAGAATTTGGAGTTGTCAGGAGCCTGGGGGCAAGAGCAGAGGGAGGGACGGGCAGTGCAGGTCGGGGAGGGAGCAGGTAGATGCTCCTGGTGCCCTGCCCAGGGGTTAGAGTGCCCCCAGGGAGGGAGGCAAGGCCACAGCGTGGGCATGGAGGGAACCTGCTGGACAGCAGACTCGCTGACGTGCGGAGAGCAGAGGAAGTGAGGACAGCGAGGGACTCCAAGAACCCCAGCCCTGGCAGCGGCAGTCGCACAGCTGGGCACCCCGGAATGACGGTGTCCTCCTGCCACTGCCCTGCGTACGTCTTCGCGCGGGTGACGCCCTCCCCACCCCTCCCATGGAGCCTCAGCTTTGCACCCGGCACGCCTTCGCCCATCAGTGCTGACACCTCCCTGTTGGTTCTGTGTTGCAGGAATAGAGCTGTGTCCCCCGGGAAGACGGTTCATGGTCACCATGGTGGCGAGCTTCGTGGCCATGGCGGGCCAGTTTCTCATGCCCGGGCTGGCCGCCCTGTGCCGGGACTGGCAGGTGCTGCAGGCTCTCATCATCTGCCCCTTCCTGCTCATGCTGCTCTACTGGTCGTGAGTATCTTCCCCACCCCTGCACCTGCTCTGCAGGCCCCGCCCCCACGCCTGGATCCCCGGATCTGCCTGGAGCTTCAGCTCCTCCAGAGGGAGCTATTCCCCACCTCCTTCCTTTCGTTTCATTGGTTAACTCTATCCTGCACAATGTCCAAGCAGACACAAAAGTAGACAGAGTCGTGGAATGGGGCCCACGTGCCTCCAGGTGGCACCCGTCACCTGCCCACGGCCAGCCTGGCCTCAGCCTGCACACCGCTGCCTGCTCCGGGGGTCACTTTGATGTGCTGTGCTGAGTGGGGTTTCTCGTGTCGGGAGGGAACCCTGGAGATGCTGAAGGAGTGGCTTAGCAAAGCTCCCCGTCCCCTCTAGGGAAAAGGGGGCTGACTGCAGCCCGGGGGCCTGGTACAGCCCGCAGCCTGCAGCTGCACCACAGGGGTGGTGCATGGCCTTGCTCGGCTGTGTCCACCAGCATTGCCTATGGCTACCCCCAGAGCTTCACAGGGGCCCTTAAAACCAAAACCAGCACCCTCCGGTCATTTTGGTTGGGGAAGAAAGTTCACCCACCACCCCTGCTCAGCTTGAGCCTCGGGTGCCTTTGAGGACCACGTGCTTAGGGGGAGAAACAAGTGAACTCTGGTCCAGAGCGAGCGCCCGGGAAGCTGTGTTCAAAAACCTCCCCAGGGACTGGCCGTTCAACCGAGGGTGAAAACCAGGCAGAGATGACTGGGGGAGGGGCACGTGGCTGTTTGCCCTGTTTATAAACCACCCCTTTCTTTGCTTCCTGCTGTCCCCTCCCCTCGGAGCCTCAGTGCATCCTGGAGCAGGATACACTGTAGCAGACACAGCCCAGCCCCGCTGCCTTGCTGTTTTCACTCATCATGGGAACCAAATTTCTGGCCCACCCTGTCATCTGTGGCCTTGCTCTAGTACTCACCAGGGCCAAGAGGGCTGTTAGCTGGGTGCTGGGATGGGAAAACAGCCCTTACCTCTTAGGGCCACCTGCCAGGGAGGCCTTCGACAGCTACCCTCACCGGAACCGAGCACCTCTGCGGTGCTATGCCAAGCACTGTCCACACCCCTGCCTCCCATGCCACAGAAGCCCGACGCACTCCAGGGCGGCCTCTGCCTTCCCTTTCGTCATCGCCAGAAATCCTTCCCGTCCCCTCCCGGTGGCCTCCACGTGGAGAGTTCAAGGACGCTGGTTTTTCTAGCATGCACCTGCTCCCTGCTTTACCCTGCGCCAGGCACAGCCTGCAGGCTCTCACTGGCAGTCAGTGGTCACATCCTCATTATCAGAGGACAGCACTGCTGTCCCCACGCTGGCTGGGCCTGAGGACGGTGGCACTTGCCCCACTCTGTCCCTGCCTCAACTTACCCCATCTGCTCCCCAGCCCCCACCCTACCCAAGGGTACCCTTGCTGTCTGCCAGTCCAGGGGAGCTGGAGGCCTGGGGTGGGCCTTTTGGAGACTCGCACCCCTGGGAGGGCAGACATGGCTGGCTCCCTGCCCCTCAGGTGTCAGGTGGGACACCTGCCGGGGAGAGGTGGCAGAGGAGGCTTCAGGGAGCTGCTGCAGGCCTGCGAGGCTGGACCCTGGGGAGTGACTGCGGTGGCTCAGTTTCTTCGGCTGGGTTTTAGGAAGGTACTGAGGTTTAATGACAGGCAGGGGAATTGCTGGAAATATACAAATTTCTTGGTGAAATTCTCAAGCTTCTGAAATGGCCGGCATCCAGGGGACCGTAACAAGCAAAAGTGCACACCTGTGTGGCACCTGTGTGTGTGTGTGTGTGTGTGTGTGTGTGGACCGCGGTCCCAAGGCATCTTGTCCGGTGCTCACAGCTCTGCGCTTGGGCCCAGGAAGAGCTGGTCCCACTCCTGGCTGTGCCAGCCCAAGCTCTCTGCTGCAATCCTCTCTGAGGCCCCGATTTCTCCTCTCTATATATATAAAAAAAAAAAAAGGCAGAGGGGCCCTAACGGTGCCTGTCTCTTGCAGTTGCTTTGCAGGTTGAAATAATGCATCCAGAGCAGATGCATGGAGGGGCGGTGTGGCAGGGAGGCTGTGACCTTGGGAAAGTCGCCTCACCTCTCCGTGCCCCGGATTCACCAGCCGTGAGCCCATCACAGCAGTGATGGAGTTGGGAGAAGTCACTGTGCTAACACAGCACCATTTTGTAGCAGACCAGTACAGTCACCATAGTTAGTGTTATTATTGTTATGTGCTGCATTTATATTAGGAAGGTGCTTAGCACACATCCTCAAATCTAGAAACTGTTAACTACTGCTGGTGTTACCACTAGTACATCACTAGCCTCAACACTACAGGAATCTCCTTGTGAAGGGGCGGGTTAAAAAGATTGGTGAGGGCCTGCGCCCGCCACGGCTCACTAGGCTAATCCTCCACCTGCGGCGCCGGCACCCTGAGTTCTAGTCCCGGTTGGGGCGCCGGATCCTGTCCCGGTTGCTCCTCTTCCAGTCCAGCTCTCTGTGTGGCCTGGGAGTGCAGTGGGAGGATGGCCCAAATGCTTGGGTCCTGCTCCCTCATGGAGACCAGGGGCGGGGGTGGAGGGCGCCATGAGACCAGGGGCGGGGGTGGGGGGTCGCCTGGCTCCTGGCTTCAGATTGGCGCAATGTGCCAGCCATAGCAGCCATTGGGGGGGTGAACCAATGGAAGGAGAACCTTTCTCTCCGTCTCTCTCTCTCACTCTATAACTCTGCCTGTCAAAAAAAAAAAAAAAAATTGATGCGACTCCTATGCCTCTTGTGCCTACTGGCCTGGCAGCCCTGCACGAGAATTACTGACTTCCCAGGCTGTCAAGGTGCCTGTGTTTTTGTTCTCGTCTCCCTAAGTTCTCCCCCCTCCCATCTGCTGAGCAGGCTCTGTTTTCAACAGGATGGAGCTGCCTGCTGCAGGGAGAGGGGGGAGTGGCTGGCCAGCAGGACCAGCTGTTAGGGGCAAGATATTGAAAACTGCCCGCTTTCCATTAATGAGCAAGTGTTTACTGTGGGCACCTGGGGGCCACAGCACCAGCAGTGGACGTGGCACTGTGGCGAGCCCTCGGGAGCAGACACGGAAGCACGTGCGTGAACGAGGACTTCGGGCCCCATCACATGCGGCACAGGCCCAGGGGCTGCAGGTGCTTGGGTCAGGGGCAGTCAAGACACAGGGGTACACATGGGCCAGGAGACGGCTCCTGGGCAGATGGCAGGCTGGGAGATGGCACTGCAGGACAGCGGGCGGAACCGCAGCCTGCAATCCCCTCTCAGAGTGCTGGTTTGAGTCCCGGCTGCTCCACTTCTTTTTTTTTTTTTTTTTTTTTTTTTAAGAAATACAAGTTTTTATCTTTTTTTAAAAGATTTATTTTTATTTATTTGAAATTCAGAGTTACACAGAGAGAGGAGAGGCAGGGAGAGGCAGGGAGAGGCAGGGAGGGAGGGAGGGAGGGAGGGAGGGAGGGAGAGAGAGAAGTCTTCCATCCGTTGGTTCACTCCCCAGATGGCTGCAATGGCTGGAGCTGCACTGATCCAAAGCCAGGAGCCAGGAGTCTCCTGGGTCTCCCACGTGGGTGCAGGGGCCTGAGGACTTGGGCCATCCTCTACTGCTATTCCAGGCCACAGCAGAGAGCTGGATTGGAAGAGGAGCAGCCGGGACTAGAACCGGTGCCCATATGGGATGCCAGTGCTTCAGGGCAGGGCTTTAACCCACTGTGCCGCAGCGCTGGCCCCTGTTCCACTTCTGATCCAGCCCCCTGCTAATGCACGATGTGGGAGACTCAGGTGAAGTTGCAGGTTCCTGGGTGCAGCCTGGCCCAGCCTTGGCTATGGTCGTTTGAGAAGTAAACCAGAGCATAGAAGAGCTCTTCTCTCTCTGACTCCAACATACTCGCTTGCTCTCCCTCCCTCTCTCCCTATCCCCCCTTTTCTCTATCCTTTTCCTCCCCCCTCTCTCTCTCTGTCACCCTGCCTCTCAAATATATATATAAAAAAACTATAAAACAATAAGAATAAAAAGGTTACAGACTGAACAGTTAGGGACCTTTCAAATACACCAATTCTGGATAGAATACATTTTTGAAAATGCAATGCTGGGCCCGGCGCCGTGGCTCACTTGGTTAGTCCGCCTGCAGTGCCGGCATCGCATATGGGTGCCGGTTCTAGTCCCAGTTGCTCCTCTTCCAGTCCAGCTCTCTGCTGTGGCCCAGGAAGGCAGTGGAAGATCAGTCCAGCTCTCTGCTGTGGCCCAGGAAGGCAGTGGAAGATGGCCCAAGTGCTTGGACCCCTGCACCCGCGTGGGAGACCAGGAGGAAGCATCTGGCTATAGCAGCCATTTGGGGGTGAACCAACAGAAGGAAGACCTTTCTCTCTCTCTCTCTCTCTCTCTCTCTCTCCCTCCCTCCCTCCCTCTCTCCCTCCCTCTCTCTCTCACTGTCTATCTGTCAAATAAAAAAACAAAAGAAAATATAATGCTGAGCTCCAGTGCAAGAAACGGAAGGTCCCAGGTCCCGGGCCGTGGAGAGAGTTCTAGCAGGAGCAGCAGTGGGGCGGCCCACAGGGCTGTACCAGGAAGAAGCCGAGGGACTTGGGCCGCACACCTGCCAGGGGCCAGGCGAACTCTCAGGCCACTGTGGCACAGAGAACTGAGCTCCTGCAGTGAAACTGGTAGTCAGAATCCAGAGACTACAGGACCGGCACGTCTCTGTCCACCACAGGGACTCGGCCCACGGCCGGCCGACTGCCCGGGCCCCTGCACAGAGAAGGAACCCCTGAAGAAATCATTGCCTGCGTGAGAATCTGCACCACGCGTGGCCGTGAGCTCCCAACTGCAGCCACTCGCAAGGCTGAGCAGTGGGCTCGGGGCCCAGCGAAGCCCCCCGGAGCTGTCAGGGCCACAGGCGGGGCGCCGTGGAGGCGCTCGCCACTCCCACTCACCGGGAAGAACGTTCTCACCAAAGATGCGCTCACAGGAGAAGTCACAGATCTGGGGGGGCCTTGGGAGGGCCAAAA